AGTGTTCAATTCAGTCATCTGTCTGTATAAAGATATGAAAGAAGTGTTGCCATGAAAACCATCCTTTTGAGTACGATCTTCACTTCGTATTTACAATAGGCTTTGCCTACGCTACAGGCTGATACCCTGCAACAATGGCGATGAAATTAAATACTCCATTTCAATAAAACCAGATTTATTACAGAACAGAAACTTTTCAGAATAACATCTTCAAAAGCAAAGTTTTTCCTCAGCTCAAGTACTAATGAGCGACATATTACCAACAGGCAGCGTGGCAGAGCACCCTTGTCATACTGTGGCTAACACTACTTACCAAAACACATTCTGAAATACTCTCTAACGCCTTCTACTGAATTTTCTGGAAGAAAATAAAGGGGCTGAAAGGTGCCTAACCTGGGTCTGAAGGCAAACTAAGAATTACAGTTTTTCCACTATAAATAAAACAATAAATATCAAAACCCAGGCTGCAGCGTTTCAGAATTTGGGCTAGCACAAGGTCGATGAAGTATCTGCAAAGGCTTCGTGGCGGCCGCGATGACGCACACCTGCTACAGGGAGACCGCGGTCCTGCCAGCGCCAGAACTGTCCTGCCGCCTTCAGCTGCCGTCAGTCACTCGCCCAAGAGGACAGCACTTGTCCCCTCTAAGCCTGCTGAAAACAACAGAACTTTCTTCTTTTAAACAAATGCCCTTCCCCATGTAGTTATGAATCTTGCCGATTTCTGCCGCGCCTAAACACCAGCAGCTCTGGCAGTATTTCCTCGCGCCAGCCAGGCAGCGTATTTTAGAATGCAATACTGTGTCTTGATGGAAATGCAATTTCAGTTTAGCATTTGGCCTCATTTGCTTACAGAGCAACAACAATCTTGTTTATTTAGACAGAAGTACAGTCAGTAACATTATTACCGTACTTGGACATTTTTTGTCCTCCTGACTTTTTCAAACACACCATCATTTCCAACGGCTTTCCGCAACTCTCTTCCAAGACTGGTGCGCTCACTTCAAAAAGTTAGCAAACTTGGGGTTAAACTTTGAGGGGAGAGCGCTAAAGCAACACTCGCTTAAGGCCGAGCGGTGCCCGGGGCAGCCGGGACCAGGCGCGCCGCGCATTCCCCCGCTTGCCACCCCGCTGCTCTTGGTCACTCCGGTCCAGTCCCGGGCCATGTCAGCCTCATCCCTCCAGCCACAACACGCGGCGCGCCAGCCCGGCAGAGGAAAATTTACTAAAAGGGACCTGAGAAGCTGATATTCACTACTGAGATCACCTGGGGAAAAAAAAAAAATTATGATACCAACCAGCTGCTCTCCTTCACCTGCCCTCCAATTCACCGTCCTGAAGGCAACTGATTAGCTAAGTTCTGAGGGCATGCGCCAAAAGCATTTGTTATATTCCAGTATAATTTCTACATTTTCTCCAATTACATTACTTTTGCTGTGTGGTATCTTGGGATTTTATTTTTTTCCTACTTCGTCTTTAAATTGGCTCCTACTGAGCCATTACTCATCAATAATCAACAGACATTAAAACATTAATAATTGCCAGTCTGTGACATTCGACAATACTTAAAGTGGAAACAAAATTAATTTTAGTCTCAAATTTGTTATTTCTAGTGATTATTATAAATGGATCTTGTGCTGGTGAATGACAGCCTAGAGATGGACTCTCTGCTCTCGGCGCAGCAATAGCACGCACTGCAGCAAGACGAATTTCCCCCACGCTGCTCCTGCCTACGTGACTCAGAGCTGACATTCGGAAAAGGTCCTTTGTCACAAAACCCTGACAGCAAGGGACGAGGCTCCTTTCCAGCCGTGAAAGCGAGTCGTGGCCCCGTATTCATGCGGTCATTTGAAAAGGCTGTCTTCTAAGCGGCCCCTCCAGAAGCACGAACAGCTCTCAGGTCACCGGGATTTTTGTTTAGAGAATTCCCTCCCTCTGCAAAATGGACCCAGGGAAAAAAATCCCAGGAAAGCACTATACCAGTCTTGCTCTCCTGAGAATGCGATTTCAGGAGAGGGAGCCTAATGCAGCAATATAGATTAAAGCATTCTTGCACATCCCCGACTCTCGGCACCCAGCTTTGTACTCCCGCCCTACACCAAGTTGAAGCATTCCTTAGGATTTTTTCCAGAGTTTTTTAAAAGCAGAACAAAGCCCCAGTTCATTCCACTCGGCAGCCACACAACAAGATGTGCCGGCACAGATGACAGGATGGCTTGTGATCAAGCAGAAAAGACCAACTATGCGCGACATTGATGCTGCCACGGAAGGGTCTGATGAAGTAGCAGCCAGAGGTTCCGAAATTCCTAGCACTCAACCAACACAATTTCCTCCCTTTTTTCTTTACATTTTACCATCTGTCTCCAGCAAAGATCTTTATTTCTAAACTAGGGATTATTTTGGCTTCATCTCAGCAGATTTGTAGTATAAACGCACATTAGGATACACCACACGTTTATTCATGCGGGTTTAGCCTACGTAACCAGAAATCTGAGCCCTTCAAAGAAGGTGCAGCCTAATTCAGTCGCAAAGTCTGCAGCTTAACTGCACTATAA